TCAACAAAAACGGCAATGACCTAGTTGCCAACCCAATATATTTCCAATAGCCACGTCTATTACATAATTTGACATGAATCGATGAATCACTTATTGAATCCCCCTTGTTATTTCTTCAGATTTTTAACCTTAAAAGTAGTAACGATTTGTGCCACTCATAGTAATTAGATTAAAATAGCAGTGCGAAATAAGCACTCATTTTAGGCAGTCTAAAAATCTTTTTAGATTTCATTAAGGCAACCTTTCCAATACAACATCAACAATATTGAGAAAGCATTGGTATTTACATATGATGAGATAGCGCATAGCAATGTTGCCATTCTTGAATTGTTTGAAGCAAGTGACATCGATTTGCAGTAAAGTTAATAGCTGGTGAAGTCAAGTGGGTCAGAGTTCACTGAGAGTAAAATCGAAGAATTTAGGCGACGCACTTCATACTCACAAAAAGTGTAGATAAACGGTATGATAAACAGTGGTCCGAAATATACGTATATATATATATATATATATATATAAATGAAGCGATAACTTGCACACACATCTGACATTTACTATGCACATTATAATTACCATGTGAAAGTTGATTCTACTTGAATTTCTTATAAAGGGAATATATCACTAAAGGTCGGATTTGTTTCGCCTCGAGAAATTTAAGGTCAACTAATTTGTTGAATACTTTAACATGAAAGATTGGATCCATCATCGCACAGAGGTAATTTGACCTTAATGAACACACTTGACCTCCTTGTGTTTGCCCGCGCATCTGTCATTCTCCATCTGACAATCATCCATTCGACATTGCTCCTTCCCCACAACACCGAACCTCAGGTCGACCTTATCAGCACAAGGGCGTTGGGAAGAGAAGGCAAGGGAGGGAGGGAGCATTGGGGGTGGCGGCTACATTAATAAGCTGTGCAAATGAATGTGCTGTCTCTCAGGTCACCTTCATGAAATGAATGGGGGAAAACAAGCCTGCCACATGCCATCTTGACCTCACGTGAACTTTACTATCTTTCTCCTACATCTGTGAATGACTCATTCTCTTTTTCGGGTGAATACACGCAGTTCAAAGACAAGTAGGGGATGCAGATGAATTCGTGATAGAAGCTGTTGTGACCTCGTTAACCGAAAGGCTTCGAGGAATAAGAAATGGCAAAGGGGAATACGTAGGCATTATCTATTAAATCATTTACGCCCCATCTCTCTCTCTCTCTCCCCCACTCTCTCCAAGGGGTTTAATTTTGCCATACAATCGTGCTTTTCTCAAATGGTTCTTCATATAATTGCTTTAACACTAAAATACTAACACCCTTCCACAATTAATTCCATTATCGAGTTATAAAGTCTGTCGATAGACTATAATTGTAGAGATTTTAAGTTGGCATATTTGACATGTAGCCCAAATTATCAACCACTAATTATGGTACAAATTAAGCTGCTTTAGAAAATTGACCGTAGTACGTCCAAGGGAGTTACAGCCCACGTGTTGGGTGTTATCATTTTAAACGGACACTGAATTTACAAACTTGGAGAGCTTTTTGGTTGATGGTAGGAGACACAGACAGCTCGGACCAAATCTGCACTTTGTGGTTAATTTTACCAGCCAGGAGTAGCAACTGAAATTAATAGTCCAAGCTTTGATCCATTGTATTGGGTGGGCAACTAAGTCATTGCCGATTTCAAATAAGAAGGCAAATTCGGAATTTTGTTTAAAAATATAAATTTATTCAATTAGATAGTGGCCATTCTTGTCGATGACCTTTTTCCATCGTTCTGGCAGAGTATAAATTCCCCGTTCGTAAAATGTCTGGTCTTGCCTAATAAAAAACTCAATTAGGTGTGATCCCACATCATCCGCGTTGTTAAAAATTTTGCCATTTAAAGAGTTTTGCATGGAACGAAACAAATGGTAATCCGAAGGCGCAAGGTGAGGGCTATATGGTGGGTGTGACAAAACATCCCAACCCAGTTCCAATAATTTTTGCCGAGCAACCAAAGATGTGTGGGGCCTTGCGTTATCATGATGGAAAACAACACCCTTCCGCCGATTTGATAATGCCGGCCGCTTATCTTCAATTGCATCCTTCAGTTTTTCGAGTTGCTCAACATACACATTTGAATTTATCGTTTGGTTCTGCGGCATGAGTTCAAAATACAAAATTCCTTTGTGATCCCCCCACCAGACTGACAGCATTATCGTTTTTTGGTGAATCTCTGCTTTTCATACTGTTTGGGCTGGTTGATCTTGCTTCACCCATCGTCTCTTGCGAGTAACATTGTTATAAACTATCCACTTCTCGTCGCCAGTAACTATGTTCTTCAGAAATGGATCATTCTCATTGCGTTTCAGTAGTGAATCACAGATGCTAATCCGTTGCGTCAAATGAATTTCCTTTAACTGGTGAGGGATGCATCAATCAAGTTTCTTGACATAACCAAGGGTTTTTACTTTTTTGTCAATGCATGTATGCGACACATTGAGCTTCTCTGCAATATCTCGTGTTGTGCTGTGACGAATTGACTCGATAATGGCCTTGATATGGGTTTCATCCACTTCGACTGGGCGGCCAGATCGTTGTGAATTTTTCAGTGAAAAATCACCGGAACGAAATCTTTCAAACTAATTTCGACACTGCCTTTCTTTTAAGGCTTCATCTCCATATACGGCACATAACTTCTTCTTTTGTGCTTGCGATGCGTTCTTGCCTTTTCGGAAGTAATACAATAAAATGTGTCGGAAGTGCACGTCCTGTTCTTTCATTTTTAAATTGGGATAAAAACAAAACTAAAGACTAAACAAAAAAATTTTTTACTAATTAACCTAGAAGCCCATACAGTAAGAAAAAAATATAGGTTAGATGCTCTGGCCACGTTAACAAAACAAAAGAAAGTATAGAGTGAATCTGTCAACAAAAACGGCAATGACTTAGTTGCCCACCCAATAGTATCGATTTGAGAAAAGTGGCAGTTCACAGACAAACAAAGACGTAGACGATGCAGAACACCGCGAATTCCTTCCTTTAATGAAATTGCCAATTTTATTTAAAAAAACAGATAATTTTATTCATCTACATTACGCCGACTTATTCAGTAATCAAATGTAAAACTACTAAAAAAACCTATCCAATCAACATTTTAGATACTTTTCGCGGTGTAAATAATCTGTAAGCAGAATACCTAACACAGTAAAGATCGACCACATCAACAAATAGTCGAATTTTATTATAATAGTGTGAAATTCACAAATATGTTATTATAAACTCTACTGAAAATATCTAAGTAGTAGAGTTATAAAAGGAATCATATTTGTTCTGAGAAACAGTCTTTATTTGAATAATATTAAAAATTACAAATATTCTCGCAAGTGTTACACAGGAGGAAGGGCAAGTAAGTTTAATAACGAAGGAAAGGCTTGTTTTTAGCGATAAATCTTTCCAACTGATCCCAAATTCCTTGGAAATTCACTTTGTCCAAATGGCGCCTTTGATCTAGATTTATCACTGTCACATTCCACTTAGACACATTTGCATCAAGCGGCATGTTCGAATACTTCAGGTGAAACCCCTTTACTGAAATGGAAAAATAATGAAATTAATAAAAAGACATGGCACAATTTTACAAACAGACTCAACTTGATTTTCCCTCTATTTCAATACATTACTGGGAAAATAAAATTACGCAGGTGCTTCAGAGTACATTTCAGCTTCTCACATGCACAGGAGTACGTAAATCAAATAACCTTAGGAACAAGAGAAAAAATAAAATGCAAGACTCAGGAAAAGCTTATAGCGGAGTCAATACGCTACTCCAGAAACAACGACAAGTTATAATTATTAGATGATAAGGGTTTTGTACAAGGGCGAGCAAACCGCCAAAAATTGGCGGTAATTAACCTGAAGTATGGGAAAGATTCATTTTGAAAGACTTTGGAACACTATGGATTTACAAACAGAGCAAAGTAATGAGCTCTCAAAAATAGTAAACCAAAGTTAAATAGAAAATGTGTATAAATAAGCTAAATTTTCTTACTCAAAATAAATACTTGATTTTAAGGAGAAAAGGTAAATGTAGAACGATCAAGGTTAAGAGAAAAGGAGACATGATAACGTAAACAATAAGATCGCAAAGTGGCATAGATGGAATGGAAACAAAGTTTTAACCCTACATACCGTAGAACCAAATAACTCGTAAAGTTCTGACAGATTCTAAAATCTCCCCAATTATAAGTTATAGTAGAAATAACAATTGCCGAGGTCTTTTGTGTGAGGGAGACTTCTACTATGGTAGTTAAAGCAACCGACTTGGGGCTCTCCTTAAAACTGATATCAGAAATGAACAGAAGTAACCTGTGAAGAACTAGATCGGTAGATTACTCCTTCAAAATTGAGAAAATCAGTAAAAATTCAGAAGACAAAGAACTAAATCTCCCTACACTTAACAACAATCTACCTTCAGCCTTATCAACACAACCATTTAGTTCGAATAGTACAATGTATACCACCTTCATTAATAAACTGAATGCTCCGTTGGAAAAAAACTCAACATTCCTAATAACTAAATAGCGAAAATATTAAAAAATAACAATATGCAATATGGCAACATCGACACAGTACAACCTACCAGCTGAAAAGATAAGAGCTGGATCGCCTCCATAGGGCCATCCTTTGAACTGCCAAGTTTGTCCTTGAACAAAAACAGCTACAACACGATTCCATTCGTCTGGCTGAAGACGTATTGGTTGATCAACGACCCGATAAGGCACGGTTCGACCATCTGATCTTAAACGGTTAATTGTCAGCTCATTTTGACGTTTGGCTCCTGCTTTCATTTTGTCTTGAGGTGAAATGAACTTAAAGTCCTAAAAACGATTTAAAACGGATAAGTCACTAAATATGTTACTATTAACGAATAAGTAGTTCGAGATAGCAATTTTGTCAGTCCAATTCGGAAAAACACTGACAAAAATGCCAAACATGAACGCATAATCAAGCATTGGAGAACAGTGAAAAGTGGTTAGAATTCAATATATTCAGACCACCAATTTCGTTGACAATAAGAATTTGGAGGTAGGCACGCATGTAAGCTTATATGAATAAGGGCATAGATCAATGGAGAAGTAATATATTGAATTATAGCCAAATGTATCTATATTGCTGATTCAAAGTTCGAATATCATTGTGACAAGATGGACGCTTCATCCTAAATTGCGCATTTTAATATTTAGTCTTCATGAAACTTAAAAATGTTATACACTTTCATACTAATATGGCTTTATAAAGACTTTGTTAGACTATTTCCTAGTAATACTATAAAATATACGAAAGTAAACGATCAAACAAACTAAGATCAAGTATTTATCCGCTAATAATTAGGCGAGAAACAACTTGGAAACGCGACATGCACAAGTGACTCCCCAACGGAATTTTCGACTTTCAATATTCAGTATTAAAAAATCACGAATGTAACCAGCTAATAAGTAAAAAAAGAACTACCCAAGGCCGCTGAGGAAAGTATTTACAATGCTTGAACTAGGAAGGTATCCCAGAGCCGTCATTACCACAGAAATTTACTTTCCAGCACCTTTATTGATCAGAATAGATCCTGGTAAATTGTCCACTTACACCACATAGAGTGCTACCATAAACATGAATATTGTTATAATTAAAATTTGAGAGACGCTTATGTTGACCACTACACAACTGGTATATAAAAGGTATTAAGTATCTACTAAACTCATACGATAGAAATAACGACAACAAGGTATACATACCTGAAGAATATCCGCAGCATTAATCATGGTGATAAGACTAGTTGGTGCAGCTGGAACAATAATAATTGGTACACGAGATGCTCTAGGTTTTGCCCGAGACACCAGGGTGCGTGTGCTCCGATCTAAAAAAGGAAAATTAGGTGAAAATATGGCTGTAAAAATTCCATTTAAATATCAAAAGAGAGTACACATACATGGGTCAGGAGTGAGTCCCCCAGGACCTGGTGTTCCAAGGCCCATAGCTCTCGGATCTCTCGGAGTTCGAGCTCCTCGGGATTTTTCATGGCCTAAAGTAGGAGGCGGTACCATTGAAGTATTATCTGGAATCAATCGGTGGTCATTTGACTTGGCACCGTCATCGACATTAGCACCACCAACCATTGAAGCAAGACCCTTGCCGTGATAAGAACTCATGGTATCGATGCGAAAACCGGCTGTGTCCTCCCTGCCCGCAGTAAAACGCTCCTGATCGTAACGAGAATACTGCATGGTGGGAGGTTGATTGAGTGGATTAAGGTGATTGGAGACTGGCGCCAGGGGTGTCTTATAGAAATTGTTAGCTGCTCTACCTCCCCCCGCACCACCATAGGGATCAGCAGGTTGCAATCGGGCGTTCTCTTTGAGCTAAATCAAACAGGGGAAAAATAATTAGTAGCAGTGGGAAAAACAAGCTTTAATAGCTGCAATCGCTAGAAAAGTACCAGATAATATCGCGGCAGAAAAATACACCAAAATAGGCATAAAATGAGTAACAATTTTATACTTGAAACAGTACTTCTTGAAAACCCGAATTGTATACGAGGTATTTTACAGCTAGTCAATTTATTGTATTTAATTACTTTCTATCTTCTGACTTAGAGTAGATTGGTGTTGACAATTTAGAAGACATGGGAGAGGATTAAGGCTTAGTTTCGTAAACCCAGTAGAGAGTGCTCATTGTGTCAGAGGATAAGTGACGCTGAGAGCAGCAACACCTAAAATTTTCCCCGCGAAAACCGTATTGGCCAACCAGGCTATTACGAATGGAAGATTTAATTCACGGAAACCTCTTTGCCAGTGAGGTCTAGCATGCTCCGATATTAGACTAATTGCTTCCACAAAGTTTGTAGTAACCAATCTATTGAAGCTGAAATAATTAACAGAGCTTACTAAGTCAAAGAAAAGTGAAATGATTCTATCCAAGAAAAAATTAATATGGTAATTTGTTATTAATCATGCATACAATTTGTAAGATATCATAAAACAAGATTAAAGCATATATGCGCAAGCATGAAGTTTGGGGACAATGGCTATTTTTTGGAGGCTAATCAAGCTAAAATAAGTTGACGTTTTCCTAACCTTCAATTACAAGGAAACTCTATAGGAATATTATGATTTCGGAAGTTGCCATTCTACAATTAAAACGAAAACTTCAACATCTTGTTTGGACCTAATAAAAGTATGGGCCAAATGTCATTCGCAAGAGTTATAAATAAGGAATGTGTTGCTAAAGAAAACTAAAACGAACATTCAATATTGTTGGATAGGATTCAAAATAAACTGGTAGAACTTGATGTAGGCCAAAATACGCAAAGGGAACAAAAGCTTGTCATACAAAAAATGATCATACAAATGGACCGTTTTATCGAAAACATGATCAGGCGCAAGCATATACGTAACGACCTACTACTTACTGAAACATTGTGAAGAATTCCCGAAACAATGTTTTCAAAAAACGTCTTTGCCTGGCTTTGGAGGATATTCGATCTAGTTCGCCAACGTCGTTCACGAGATGAAACAACTCGAACAGCATCCAGATCGGCGTCCAAGGCCGCGGCTCGTTTAGGATCAGCTGCACGCGAAAGCGCTGCATGCTGATCATCAACATGCACAATCATAATTGAATTAGGACCTTGATAATTTGGATCAGACTTTCGAGAAAGAATTGCCTGTCCAGGTGTCCTTCGTAGAAGAGCATCACCAGTTACCACCGCAGTAGGATCGAGATTGTCTACTCCAATGGGTTGCTCTGTGGTAGTACCAGGCTTCGGTGCTTGCTGATTGGCCCGAAACTTTGCTCGGAGAGACTATTAACGAAATACCAATAATGGAAGAGCAAAGAGCAATCATGCAGACAGCGTAGTGTAGATATATTAACGCATATTTCTGTGGGTTTCAATCACCCATTGATAATTTTTGTCGAATGCATAATAACTAATAAGGGGCAAAAAATACGTCAGTCGGTATGAAGTTCACGTTTAATATTAAAGCTCTTCCCTACTTTACAATTCACAATTACTCCTACTAGGCCAAAACTACAATTTTAATAATTTCCGATATGTATATTCGCTTGTAATTTTAACACAAGGAATGTTGTTGATTATTTTAAGAGGGAATAATTGTAAGACTAATTTGATTGAACTGTTACAATAGCTTTAAATTATTAGTCCCAAGCTAGCTGGCTAAAAACATCACTGGGCATGTACAAATGAGCATCGATCTCATAAACTTAAGCATAGAAAGAGGGCAGTTTGATGAATGTGCTGCAGATATACGACTTCGATAAAGCAATTGATCTCGTTAAGTAACAGTAGGATTATAAAAGGAAACCATAGAACGCAATATAATCATATAATTTAACAGTATGGAAAATAAAACATTCGTAAAAATCAACATTGAGAACATTATTTCGCTCAATTGGAGCTTAGTTTAAACTCTGAGGACGTTCAACAATCCAAACTCTAGAAATAAAAAAATATCATACGCCTTTACTTAGAAAACTGAAACACCAAGAACTGAATATCGCTATTATCCTTTACAAAACCTAACAGAGGAATACGTACAACTAGCAAGAGCCTTTCAAATTCTTCGAGGATACAACAACGATGAATTGAGTGCAATATAAAGACAAAAGCAACATAGAACTTACTTCAATTGCATCAAGTGGTATAACTGAGGGGAGAGCACTACCTTCGGTAGATTCTAGATTAGATGGGCCTTTAGCTACATCCTGATCGTCAACAGATTTAAGCTCCTCGGTATCGAAAGTGGCCAATCTAGGTCGTTTCGCTTCAGAAGGCATATCAATATCAGAGCGTAAGTTCTGTGTATCTGCTGAAGTTTTTGCAATAATTCTCCGCAAAGATATATCAACAGGGACGGTTCTGTCAATACTTGCTGTTGTGTCAATGGTTCCATTTAGGTAGTTGAGTAAATCACGACGATCCGGTAAACGCACAACTGGAACCTTGTCAGTCTAGACAGAATATTAAATTACATATGTAACTTACAGCAGCATCTCTCACATATTTCGAATGTGGAAGATTAACGTGTCTCAAAAGATATAATATACAATCGAGAGTGTAATAATCCTTAGACGAGCCATCCTTGCCAGTACTATAAATTTAAGAAGGCAATTGATATATTACCCCCACATAATATAATTTGTCTTGGTCTTTCGTGGCCATGCAAATTCACCGAAAATAATTTCATTTTCATTTTCAGCAATGTTTTTATTCGCGATGGTGTACTCACGCAATAGGCTTAAGACGTCAGCCATCATAAAAGATCACAACCAGCCAGTGCGCTCACAAAATGGGTAATTAAAACACACTAAAAAATTAAAAAATAGCACACCTTGGATTTATCTGTTTCATTTTTCAAACAAAATGATTGGATTGAGGTCAACGTGTAATAATTAATTGAGTGTTTTATATATACACGTCTTGAACTTTAATCGGAATTTTAATCGGTTTAATGGCACTTTCTACTATTACAGTTGAATGAAGACATTTTCAATAAATAAAGTATGTCATTCAGATATATAACGCTCGTCATTAGATTATGAGTTGCATATTATCATTTTTGTTACTATACTGTCTTGTGATTGGAATAATTATATGCGATGTCTCAAAGTTTAAATGCGATATGTCTACATTTAGAAGATGTTTACGTCTTAACACTACAGAGGTTCCTGAAGATTATTTCGCACCTCTCTTATTTCATCTTTGCGTAGCCGTTGAGATAGCCTTCTAAATTACTTCACCGATATAGCATTTATGATTTCTTACTCAGGCCATATTTCCAGAAAGTGTCATAAAATATATCATCAATAAACTTTTATTAACAAAGAATACGAATTTCTTTTCGACCATTTTGTACATCAGGAAACAAAAATTTTTCAATTTGCCCTATTATCGTTTGAATGTTTAATTAATTGCAATAACATCAGTTGTCATTAAACATGACCGTACTAATTGTATATTGGAGAGTTCGTTGTCCATTATCCATTTTTTCATTTATATCTAATGACATGGTTTTTGATAATTACCATTCGCCTTTAGCTTCTCAGGGGGGAGGAACATCAAAGTAAGAAACAATACGATAGGGGGAGCAGAAGAGTGATTCACAGATGTAAAAGAGACAGAAAAGTACAAAGGCAGAGCAAAGGTAAGATGAATACTATAGAAGTGGTCGAATATGAAATACAGTTGGGTTATGGTTGGTTGAAATCGGAAGTCAGCTGCCGCTTTATAGACGTTTTAACGTATGAGTATGCGTTACCCAGGGTACACCACGTGGATGTAAGTCTATCGCCCACCCCGTTATATCCATTATAATGATAGTTAATATTGGTTTTGAATTAATTGCCATAATATGAAATAATTTTTAAAAATTGTCGAATATTACTCAATAAAGTTCTATCTTCTTCGAAACAATGAACTTTCGCATATTTGCTATTTGTATAAATGGCATATTCAATTGTAATGCCAATTCAATTGTAATATTTCCCAGAACTTAAACATATTTTAATTAACCGAGTTTTTAAGCCATAAATCTCATATACAACTTTAAAACATGCAATTGCATTTCTTCACTGCCTCTTTCTACTATTTATCACCGTTGTTCAACAAGTTAATAACTCCGAAAAAAGAGAGAAGAGCGTCAAATCCTTGCATTTCTTGGAGGATTGATGGATCGAGTAATACCTACACGTCCGTTTTACGCCCTCACACAAACGTCCCAGACAAAGGCTGTTCACGAAGAAATCACCCCGAAGGTGGATAAGAAACTAGCGACAAAAAAACTAAAAGTGGTGCCAGTCACATCTTAGGGAAAAAACCAATCATGACTTGAATAGCTTCCGTTCGTCAACCCAAAGACACATTCCAGTTTCAAAATCTTGGACATTATCACCGCCTTAATCACCTTAAATATGATATATGTCCGATAGTGTTCTGAACAATGGCCAAACCCATAAACCGTGGCTGATTAGTTCACTCATAATATGAATGAAAGACAAGTGCATTATCCACTTATCTTGAAGTCAAAAACGACAAAAGGAGTCGATATAGTAGCATGACCTTAGCGAACGTAGCATGTGATTAATTGGGAATTGAATCCAGAGTTAACATAATACAACAAATGAAACTGAGTACTGAGTAACAAAAGGAGTGTTTGTTCCAACACGAACAGAAAAGAGCTTTTTAAGAGTGTAGAAATGATTGATTTTCTAGTTTTCAGCGAAAGCAAGGAAACCTGTAAATTTGATGGGTCAAAAGACAATGAACCACAGCTGAGTATTGGATGAATCTAATTTCCATAAATGCTGACCCTGTTTGAATCCTCTCCAAATTTCTCTATTTTCGTATTTTCGAGTAAACGTGTTAGGGTGTTTCCTTTCGTCTTAGAAAAGTGAAACTTTTGGTAGATTGACATCGTAAGCTACAGCTCAAGCCTAAACCAAAATAGAATCTCTTTTAAACCTTCTTATTCAAGAGAGTGACGCTACACTGTATCCAATCTTTTGAGACACATAACATCTCCAGAAATGCTCGTTGCCTTATGGGAAATATTAGGTTGGCAACTAAGTCATTGCCGATTTCAAATAAGAAGACAAATTCGCAATTTTTGTTAAAAATATAACTTTATTCAATTAGATATTGCCCGTTCTTGTCCATGACCTTTTTCCATCCTTCTGGCAGAGTGAAAATTCCCCGTTCGTAAAATGTTTGGTCTTTGCTATTAAAAAACTCAATTAGGTGTGATCCCACATCATCCGCGTTGTTAAAAATTTTACCATTTAAAGAGTTTTGCATGGAACGAAACAAATGGTAATCCGAAGGCGCAAGGTGAGGGCTATATGGTGGGTGTGACAAAACATCCCAACCCAGTTCCAATAATTTTTGCCGAGTAACCAAAGATGTGTGGGGCCTTGCGTTTTCATGATGGAAAACAACACCCTTCCGCCGATTTGATAATGCCGGCCGCTTATCTTCAATTACATCCTTCAGTTTTTCGAGTTGCTCAACATACACATTTGAATTTATCGTTTGGTTCTGCGAGTAACATTGTTATAAACTATCCACTTCTCGTCGCCAGTAACTAGGTTCTTCAGAAATGGATCATTCTCATTGCGTTTCAGTAGCGAATCAGAGATGCTAATCCGTTACGTCAAATGAATTTCCTTTAACTGGTGAGGGATCCATCAATCAAGTTTCTTGACATAACCAAGGGTATTTAATTTTTTTCAATGCATGTATGCGACACATTGAACTTCTCTGCAATATCTCGAGTTGTGCTGTGACGATTTGAATCGACGATAATGGCCTTGATATGGGTTTCATCCACTTCGACTGGGCGGCCAGATCGTTGTGAATTTTTCAGTGAAAAATCACCGGAACGAAATCTTTCAAACTAATTTCGACACTGCCTTTCTTTTAAGGCTTCATCTCCATATACGGCACATAACTTCTTCTTTTGTGCTTGCGATGCGTTCTTGCCTTTTCGGAAGTAATACAATAAAATGTGTCGGAAGTGCACGTCCTGTTCTTTCATTTTTAAATTGGGATAAAAACAAAACTAAAGAACTAAACAAAAAAATCTTTTACTTATTAACCTAGAAGCCCATACAGTAAGAAAAAAATATAGGTTAGATGCTCTGGCCACGTTAACAAAACAAAAGAAAGTATAAAGTGAATCTGTCAACAAAAACGGCAATGACTTAGTTGCCAACTCAATATATTTCCAATAGTTTGAAACTACTCACATTTCCTTAGATGGTATTAGAGTTGGTGGGTTGACGTATTATTAATTTATATTATGTAATAGAATAAACATTTTGATTTTGCAGTAGACAAAAGTTTTGGATGCATTGAGTAATTTATCTCGTCCTTGGTGATAGCATTCTGATTTTTGAGCTGTTTGTACATCGTAAAAAAATAACTAAGCCTTGAAAATGATGACAGATCTCAAAAACTCAATAAAGACACACAAACGGCTTCATGGTTGTCTTTGCTTATAAATTACGCATGGGAACGATCCAGAAATTCAAGTTTTAAACTTGGTCAATCTTTTCATTAACTACCGGTGACTATTGCTTTACCAAGCATTTTAACGTAGGGTCCACCTTGGTTCTTTTCGAGGTCTTCTGAAGTGTCTGAAGTAAGGATCGGGTGATGATTGCACTGGGTCTCCACAATTTCGGGATTCCAAGGCGAAGTGAGGTCAAATGCGTCCAAGTAGACCTCCAGTGGATCAATTTTTGGTTTGAAAAAGGAGATGATTATGATGAAATGCCCAAATATCTAGGAGCAAAGGGTTAAAAATATTCCCTCCCCTTGCCTCTCAATGTGATTTTGAAATATTTATTTATTTCAAATGGCAGGCTTTTTTGACTTCAGCTTCCCCCAAGAGGGGGGGGGTACATTTAAAGCAGTTAATTAATAGCAGTTCATTAGCAGTCTTCTTGCTTAAATTTTGACTTCAGCTTCCCCAAGGGTGGGGGGTACATTGGAGGGGTATCATTCGCAATTTAACTTTGACTTCAGCTTCCCCCAAGGAAGGGTGGGTACATTTATAGCAGCATTAACAGCAATTCATTAGCTGTCTTCTTGCTTCCCAGTATCTCTGGTTTTCCGAATTTTGACTTCAGCTTCCCCAAGGGTGGGGGGTACATTGGAGGGGTATCATTCGCAATTTAACTTTGACTTCAGCTTCCCCCAAGGAAGGGTGGGTACATTTATAGCAGTTAATCAATAGCGGAAGGGTACATTTATAGACTTAATCTTTGACTTCAGCTTCCCCAAGAGGGGGGGGGGGTACATTTATAGCGGTTTAATTAATAGCAGTTCATTAGCAGTCTTCTTGCTTCCCAGAATTTTTGGCGGTCGTTGTCTTTAGGGCTGGACACCGAATCAGGTGGGTCTATAGTAGCTGTCTTCTTGCTTCCCAGTATCTCTGGCTTTCCGGAGTAGCTGTCTTCTTGCTTCCCAGTATCTCTGGCGGTCCTTGTCTTTAGAGCTGGACACCGAATCAGGTGGGTCTGCGTTGTCTTTAGAGCTGGACACCGAATCAGGTGGGTCATCACCATTTCCTCCGCTAGACACCGAATCAGGTGGGTCTTCTCCATTTCCTCCTTAGGTTACATAGGGGGCATGTGGGTTGAGTGTATACTCCCACGTTACATGGAGGGCATGTGGGTTGAGTGTATAATCCCAATTTGTGAGGCCAGTGTATACTCCCAATCTTTGAAGGTGTTTTGCCAGGCAATCCGTCGGTACGTAGTCTAAACTCAGCAATGGCTTCGATTCTTGGCTAGTCGGGTATGTCGGAGAGTGCCACTGTCCACTGTTTCTCTGTCGGCTATATCGAAGAGTGCCACTGTCCACTGTTTCTCCTTTCTTCGAGGTAAGACTCAGCAACGGCTTCGATTCTTGGAACCGTGTCACGTACGTAGTCTAAACTCAGCAACGGCTTCGATTCTTGGCCAAGTAGTCTAAACTCAGCAACGGCTTCGATTCTTGGTAACCGTGTCAGGTACGTAGTCTAAACTCAGCAATGGCTTCGATTCTTGGCTAGTCGGGTTCTCCTTTGTTCGAGCTTTAAGTTCGTTGCACCTTGACTGTATACTCCCAATCTTTGAAGGTGTTTTGCCAGGCAATCCGTCCGGTACGTAGTCTAAACTCAGCAACGGCTTCGATTCTTGGCCAAAGTCTAAGACTCAGCAACGGCTTCGATTCTTGGCCAGTCGTATGTCGGAGATTGCCACTGTCCACTGTTTCTCCTTTGTCGAGCTTTGAGTTCGTTGCACCTTGAGGTCTTGAATTCTCTTCCAGTCGGCTATGTCGGAGAGTGTGTTTCTCCTTTGTTCGAGCTTTAATTTCGTTGCCCCACTGTTTCTCCTTTGTTCGAGCTTTAATTCCACGTCTCCTGTGTTCGAGCTTTAATTTCGTTGCACCTTGAGGTATGTTTTCTCCTTTGTTCGAGCTTTAAATTCGTTGCACCTTGAGTTCTGGAATTCTCTCCTGATTAAGGCCTTTTGTGAAAGACATCGGTCTCTCCTGATTAAGGCCTTCATTGGGTGAAAGGTTGTCCTCTTCTTAGCAAGTGTGTCAGCAAGCTCATTACCTTTGATGAACAGTGACCAGGAATCCATTGTAGCACCACTTTTTTGTTTATCTCTCTCAACAGCTGACTGAGTCCGAAAGTATCACCGCTTTGGTGAATTTC